TGTGCCGTACGGGCGTACTCAACCCTTGCCAGAAGAATTGTCCGTTCAACTGGCAAAAAAGACAACAATCGATTTGATTCCCAACTGGAATAAGAAACGACGTGATGTGCTGGTGGCAATTCTTATGTCTAATTGTGGTGTTTCACATAGAATGGCTTATTTAAAAGAATTACGGAAGCATTTAGATGTCGATGTGCATGGGAGATGTTCAGAAAATCACAAAAATAGGTATACGCTATTTTTTTATAGAATAAGGTAACAAACGAGCTCATAGTTCACCTGATGGTAACTCAGTGCTGTCGCCTATTTTGTTGTATTTAAACATTTTGATAAATCTATGAAGTGCAAAGATAACAAAATTTTAATATCCCATGACTGTCGTGTATGTCGTAGGTATCCGACATCATGAAAGTACTTATCCATCCCAGACCCGAAGTATCAAACATATGACGTGCAGGACGTGTACCCTGCGATGCGACATCTAATACAGTAGCTAAACCACCTTCGAAACGGAATGGTGCGGTAGCGACAAAATCGTCAATTCGAACGTAATGTACTATCTAATAAATAACTTATATCCACCTGTAAACTTATATAATGAATTGGAGGAGGGAGTTATTGATAAACAACAAATAGTTAGATAAATGACAATAAAAAACTGACAAGTAATGTGTATGTAAAAAGGTGTGTAATTGAATAAAATAAATAGTATACGTTCCCCTAAAAAAGATTGTTTATCTATTTATAATACTATTTTCCCCCGTATGATAACATATTTCATTAATTTATTAGGTGCAGTCTATCAAAAATCTACTGCTGAACATAGCACTTTTTTATAGAAGAAAGGGGGCAAACGAGCGTGCGGCTCACCTGATGTTAGGTGCCTACCGCCGCCCATGATCAACCACAACACCAGGGGAATTGCAGGTGCGTTGCCGGCCTATTAGAAAGGAGTAAACTCTTTTCTTGAAGGTCCCCAGGTCGTATCGGTCCGGAAAACTCGCCGGTGTTAAACTATTCCACAGAGAGGTCGTACGCGGAAGAAAACTCCTTGTGAAACGTACAGTGGTGGACCGTCAAGCATCCAGAAGGTGTGGATAGTATCAGGACGTTTGCCGCGTAGTGCGTTCACGAAATTTGGCGGCTGGGATTAATCCAAACAATTCCTCAGAGCACTCCCCATGGTATATGCGAAAGAAAATGCAAAGAGATGCAACATCTCTTCGCAGCGCCAGCGCCAAGGATACCGATACTGGCTGAGGCAACAAGGGGAGTACCTTGAAACTGGGAGAGATACGACAAAGGGGTTCTTTTTAGCAGTTAACGCGCAAACTTGTGTCTTCTGGGGGATAAACTGGACTAGATTTAGTCACCCCCAATCCGAAACTCTGTTCAGCAAAGACTTCAGACACAAGATTAAAACTACTTTTACGGATTTTATCGCGTTTATAAACGCGATAAAATCCGTAAAAGTAGTTTTAATCATGTGTAGTGTTCGCGTAAATATAAGAAATCATTACTTCAGACACAAGTTTTTCCCGGTACTCGGAGACGTTTTCCCGGAAAATATTGGCACGGCCGGTGTACAGAGCATCACCAGTGATGTCATCTGCATAACAATGAATGTTACAGGTTTGCAACATATCATTGATGTGCAGAAGATACAGCGTTGGCGATATCACGCAGCCTTGTCGAACCTTGTCTGTTAATAGGCTTGTAATCGGAGCTTGCACCGTCTACAACGACCTTGATGCTCCGATATGCAAGAAAGCTGGTGATCCAATCGCACAATTTCTCGGGAAGCCCATAGGAAGGGAGCTTCGAAAGAAGCGCTTTGTGCCAAACCCGATCGAAGGCCTTCGCAATGTCCAAACTAACGGCCAATGCCTCCCACTTGGACTCTACTGCCTCCGCCCATCTACGAGTTAGATAGACCAGAAAATCACCAGCTGATCGACCACGGCGAAAACCGTATTGACGGTCACTAATCAGCTGGTGATCCTCAAGGTACCTCATGAGCTTGCAGTTGACAATGGACTCCATTATTTTGGAGAACAAGGAGGTGATGGCGATAGGCCGGTAGTTGGACGGGTCAGAGCGGTCGCCTTTTTTAGGGATCGGGTGGACGAAAGCCGTCTTTCATGATTTTGGGACTACGCCTAGGGAGTAGGAGTACCGGAAAAGACGCGTTAAAACCGGTGGCAACTCTGGAGCACACGTCCTCAGCACAATTGGGAGGATTCCGTCAGGCCCACTAGACTTGTGGATGTCCAGGGAAAGGAGTGCTTTGCGAACCAAGCACTATGTAAACTACACTTCCGACATGGAGCACTCACACCGCGGGATGGTCGACGGCGTACTCCCCCGTCATCGATCGAGAGTCTAGTTGGACGCAAAGAAAGAGCCTAGCAGATCGGCTATCTCCTTTGCGGTATGGGCCAGTGAGTCGTCCTCCCTGTGCAGTGATGGAATATATGGCTGACAGAAATTCCCCTGGACAGCCTTGGCGAGTGACCAGAATGCACGGGTTCCAGAAGGAAGGCGAATTAGTTTATCGCCAATTCTGCCTATGTGCTCTGACTTTGCCTTGGAAATGACTTTTTTGAAGGACCTAGAAGTGGAATTATACTTCATTTTTAGAGCGCTGGTGTTTACATTCTGGGACGTTGATGCGTCAGCGCGGGCTTGGTAGCCCTCCTGCTTATAGCATGATGCTATTTTACAGGAGCGACCAAACCATGGCTGAGATTTGCCTCCAATGGGCACCACAGAGGAAGGAATAAAAAGTTCCATACCCTGAAGTACCACATCAGCGACAGAATCCGCAACAACGTTGGGATCGTCCGGCGAGAAGGAAACCCGCCCCCAAGGGTAGCAAAGAAAGACCGCATCCCATCCCAATCGGCTGACCTATAGTGCCAAACACGGCGGCAGCCTGCAGAGTGCAACTGCGATTTCAGCGTGAGTGGCACCACACTCCGGACAAGACAATGGTCTGAGGAGCCTAAAGGGGCGTCGACGGAAATCTGATATCCGTCCGGGTGAGAGGTCAGCAGAAGGTCCAACATGGAAGGTGCATGATCCTCCACATCTGGAATTCGCGTAGGCAAAGTAACCATTTGTGTCAGACCATATGCCAAGGCAAAATCATGAACAGATCTCCCCGCATGATCGGTTAAGCGTGAACCAAGCCATTTGGCGTGATGGGCGTTAAAGTCACCGCGGATCACGATCTCTCCGGAGGAGATCTGCTGTAGCAACGAATCTGTAGCCATTTGGACGTGATCAAAGAGTCGGTCTGTTTCGGCATTAGCGCTATGGGACCTATAGAGGCACCCGTAGACCCGCGGATGGCCGTCGCTGTCTACGCATAGTCAAATGATGGACAGTTCCGAACCTTCAAGTCTGCCGAGTCTGTAGTCTTGAGCGGAATTTTGCCCCCCCCCCCCCCAAGAATACGCGGGGCAGTCTGAGCAACCACTCTCAGGAGTGGAGTAACTTGGTCGTGGATGCTCAGCGAGGGATTCTCCAGGGGTGCTGGTACCCCCCTGGGGGTAGTCCTTCACTTAATTCCGCTACCATGTTAAGGGGGTACACTCACCAGACGAAACGCGGAAGCAGAGCTTCCACTTCACACCGGTATTCTGTGAGGTCGTGGTACTACCCCGGTTTTAACCGGCCCATACGTGCAACAGCAAAGCTGCCGCGTGGCTCTACCACTGTTAAAACTTACACATAGATTCCCTCATCAGGTATCAATTGTATCAAAATATTTACCTTAGTTGCCACGCTTGACGGGCGAATTCCGAAGAAATCTTAGTCCTAGTTTGAACTAATCAGTTGGAATGATCAATTAAACAGACCATGTGTGTAGAACATTTTTTGGCTTAAATCTGTGTGAACTGATATCAGTTCAACTTATCGCTTTAACTGACCGTGTGTGGCAACCATTACGGCTATCGATGGATGGTGGTACAACTGTCTCGTTTTTGTTAGACGTAAAATGACTAAGCCGGTAACGGGAGCAGTGTCAAAAGTGCGGGACGTCTCGTTCTGCGATGGTCCTAGCGCCTGCCAAACAATGATAACAAATCAATGGACGATTGTTCAACGAGAGGGAATGATGAATAATTATAATAAAAAATTATTTTATTTTTTTCAGCTGTCCAGGTCATTTTCGATCTGATTGTCCAATAATATCGGAATATTTATTTTATTTGGTATTGGAAAATTCAATGTGCCGAGAATATTTGACGGAAAAAGCTTTCTATCACGCATATTATAAAGGCGCTATTCCCATCATAATGGGTCCAACAGTAGAAGACTGTGAGCAATTATTACCGCCCAATTCTTTCCTACACGTGGATAATTATGCCACACCTCGAGATCTTGCTGGAGAAATTACTAGATTAAGTAATGACATTCCCAGATTGCTTACATTTCATGAATGGAGGAGGCATTTTGAAATTTTAAATGAACACGGGTATTTTGGATCTAAGTCTCGACACTACTGCAGATTATGTGAAGCTTTAAATTACAACGATGCTGCTGTAAAAGTTTACGATGAAGATGGTTTGAAAAAATTCTTAGATCCATCATCAACGTGTAGATGAAACACTTTGTTAGCTTGTTTGAAATTGTATTGTTGGGAGTTTAAAGAAGTGTACTTAACGTTGACATTTGTAAGACAATTTTTGTTATCAAATTTTTGTACGAAGATATTACGTTAAAAAAAGCTAATTATACATCTAACGAGCCCAGTCCTGATGCTAATTAAAAATTGAGTAAAATTTTTAAAATTTTGTCATTTATTTATTTTTTAATTTATTAATTTATTACAATCTATCAATTTACAGGTGACAACTATCTTATATTTTAACTAAATATTTTAATTAAAATAATTATTTTTGTAATATATATTTCGTTCGGCGGTTAACAACTTGCCTGCGTGGTGTGCCATGATTTAATTGTAGGACGTTCATTGGTGTACTTTGATCACCATGGATGAAAATCAAATTTTAGAAGAGGAGGCGATGAAATCTATTCTAATTGAAAACAATGAACAGGAAACGGAGATTTGTTTAGCAGAGAAATCCACTCAATGTCAAGCAATGATTTACGATGAGGTTAGATCTATTAGTAGTAAGAGACGCAGAGAAGAGGATGAATAAGAAAGGTGGATTACGGTTTCAAGAAATTGGAAGAGAGTGGGACAGAAAGTTGATGTATATATTAATTGCTTCGAAAAACTACTTATACAGTTTGCACTTGCAAAACTGTTTTAAAAACCAATAATATTAAGCATATAAATATGTGAACGCGTATAAAGTATTTGTGCAGTTTGAATGTGCAGAAAGTGCTGATGAGCTAATGAACTGTACAGGATATTGAGCTGGAGATGACCGAAAAAGAAATGCTGGAGGTAATTTCAAGTGATTGCGAGCTATTAGGTGTAAATCACTTATAGCGCAGAAAAACGGATGGAAAAGGATGGGAAGATAGTGAATCAGTACGGTTGCAATTTAAGGGTTCATCGTTGCCAGCATCAGTATACAATTACAGCATGAAGATTAACGTCGAGCCCTATGTCTTCCCAGTCACTCAATGTTCAAGGTGTTGGAGGTTCGGTCATAGCCTACGTGTTTGCCCCTCTAAAAAGATTGTATGCCCTAAGTGTGGAAAGGGGCATGCTAATTGTGAGATCACAACATTTAGATGTATTAACTGTATCGGGAGTCACATGTCGTTGGATAGATCTTGTCCTATATTTATAAAAGCAAAGCGTCTAAGGAGTTTAATGGCTGAATTCAATTGCTTATATAAAAAGGCCTTACAAATATATATTCCTCCAGAACCTCAACCTGTACAAGTAGAACAAGAAACAACTATATTAAAGACGGCTCAAAGACATCTCAACACAAATACTAACTTTATATAATAATGTGCCCGAACCCATACCTGTGTCCTCTATCTCACAAAACGAAGATGGGGTCTTACTCAAACGTTACTCGATCGGTACCGCGCTCACGTTCTGAAATTACTTCTAACACTAAATCAATACCATTAACATCACAATTGGGTGCTATGGAGGTTTCGCAAACTTTACAAGAAAAGACTATAAGTACAAAGAGAAAAAGGAAGAAGAAGCAAAATCAGAATGAAGTGTTTGAAAACGATATATCTACAGAATCAGAAGAAGAATTAATAATAATGATGATGATATAGAAAGTGAGCTCCAATCAAGAAAAGAGAAAAAAGAGAGAAGAGAAAAGCTTAAATCAACTTTTAATTTTAGGCAGTTACTTTCTAAGTTATATGCTATATTTACAAATTCACAAGAACAACTTAACAACAAAATAATTCAAGGAATGTCATTAATTATTGAATGGTTAGTACCGATGGTGGGGCAGTGCATTTGAGATTTTCCTTTTAAAAGCTTTTTCGGTCAATAATGAATAGTAATTACAACATAAACATTTTTCAGTGGAACTCACAAAGTATTAGGCCCAAACGCATGGAATTCGACCAGCCGTTAAATAGCGAGAAAATTCATATTGCTGCCATTTGTGAGACATGGTCGAAAGCCGAAGTTATGCTTAAAATAAGTGGTTACAATATTTACCGCAAGGACCGAGATGATTCTTATGGTGGGGTTGCTATTTGCTCACACAAGTCTTTAAAGACTCGACTGATATATATCCAAATTTCTAATCCCGGAATTGAAATAATTTGTATTAAGATTTTTAACTGTACACATATAGATTACATACTCTCTATATATTGTCCACCTACCATACGAACTTCTCAGAATGACTGGGATGAAATATTTTCTTTTAAAACTAACAAAACATTGATTCTTGGAGACTTCAATAGGCATCATCCAAGCTGGTCTCGTAAGGTTAATTTAAGAGGCGCGAATATTTTTGACTCTTTAATGGAAAATAATTTTGTTTCCATGAATGATGGCACAGCTACTCGCGTTAAATTAGTAAAGGGAATAGTACAGGAGTCATTCCCCGACATTTCTATTGTTTCTTCGGATTTAGCGTTGCAGTTAGATTGGAAGGTTACTAACGAGTCATTGGGTAGTGATCATTTGATTGTTAAGATTAATTTATCATATTACAATAGTCACCATCAATTTCTAAAGAAAAGGAACTATAGGAAAGCAAATTGGGATGGATATAGCCCATACATAGAATATAAATTTTCAAGTTTTGCTATTATAAATAATGATCCGCAGAAAATTTACGATTTATTTCTTAATATGGTCAATAAAGCCGCTGATGCTCTTATTCCTTTTGACAGAACCAGCCAAGATCCCTCACAACATTTTTCTCCTAAAGTATATTGGAATAACTACTGATAATAAATTAAAAGATAAAATTAGAATTTCACAACTGCTAATTAGAAAGGCAACTATAGAATTAGAACTATAGAAAATTTCTCTAATTTTGCTATTCGATTGATGAATCTATTACTGTACACGGGATGTGGCAAAAATGAAGTGGTTAAAAGGTTATGGGTGTTCTAATACAAATAGGAGTTATGTTGATCTAACAATTGCAAATGAGCTTTTACACAGTTTGACTCCAGACTTTGTTTGTCCAAAAGACCCTGCTTTTTCATCTTGTAACACTGAAATTGACTCTCTTTTTTCAATGAGCGAATTAACGTGTTGTTTTAAAACAAAAGATACTTCTCCAAATGTGGATAATATATCCTATTCCATGATCAAACATCTTCCCAAAAACGCATGTATTATTTTACTCGAACTATTTAATTTCTTTTACTCCCTAAGTTTTGTACCATTCCAATGGCGAGATATACGCATTATACCAATCCCAAAAACAGAGCGTGACACTTCAACTTTATCATCGCTTCGACCTATTTCACTTATGTCTTTCCTGAGTAAAATCTTCCATGCTATGTTGAGAAAGAGATTGGAATGGTTGATGGAAAATGAAAATCTATTTTATGATGAGACTACTGGATTTAGGAAAAAAAATCATGCTTCGATAATCTTAGTAATTTAGTCAGTAGAATACAATTGGGATTTTCAAAAGATCAAATCACAATAGGTTGCTTTATTGATATAGAGAATGCGTACAATAACGTAGATATTACGGCTGTTAGTAAATTTGGATCGATTAGTTGCTGGGTCAAATGTTTGTAAATATTTATGGACCTTCTTAAAGGAACGATACTTAAGTATCCAGGTGGACAATATTATTTTATCTAGATCTACAGGTCGAGGAATTGCCCAGGGTGATCCTATCGCTCCACTACTATTTAATATTGCAACTATTCGTATTTGTAAACAAATTATTCCTAATGTATGTATTTCTCAGTATGCTGATGATTATGTGTTATATACTTCCGGTACAAATTTAAATGATATTTCCACTGAACTACAATTGTCCTTAAATAAAATCTATGGTTTACTCACGGATTTAGGTTTGGAGATTTCAATGACTAAAACAAAGATCTGTATTTTTAAAAAAGGTATTTGTAGGCAAGCTATTTCAGTAAGTGTTAATGATAATAAAATAGAAATAGTGAACACAGTCAAGTATTTAGGGATGTGGCTAGACCGGTCTTTGAAATGGAATAAACAGGATTTTTAAACATATTCAAAGTTTTAGTAGCACCTGGTTGGAGAATACATCCCAAGCATTTAAGAAGATTATATATTGCCGTTATAAGAAGTAGCCTAGATTATGGGAGTTATTTATTCGATAACAGCTGTCAAAAGTATTTAAGTAAGTTAGACAAAATACAAAATCAGGCATTACGAGTAATCGAAGGGTTCATTAAAACTACTTCCATACATAGAATGGAGAGTGAGCTATGCCTACCTCCACTAAATGTACGAAGAACCTTTTTGGCAGGGAAATTCGTCTTAAATCTAAATCAACAAGCAATAACATCACACTAAAATTATTGAATCAATTAGCACATTTTAGAAACAATAAATATTGGCGTAATAAAAAGAAACCTTCACTATTATCTGTTTACGATCTCTTCTTCGATACCCCTTTACAGTACAGTAGTATGTTTGGATTATATTAATAGGCAGTATGAAAATTATTACAAAATATTTACAGACGGCTCTAAAGATTCAGGCGGAATCGGTGCAGCCTTTTTTGACTCACAATGTAATCTTAGCTTACAATTTAAGATAAATACATTTATTCCGACACTTCAGATTACAATCACAAATTAATAAACAAAATTAAGACGAATAAGAATAAAATAAAAGAAATAAAAACACAAGAAAATTTATAAACAAAAAAAAAGTAGAGGATAAAATTAATAATCGAAACAGATGAAGTGGCGGAAGGGACCGCCTCAGCATAAGCCGCGGGATAGCGACGCTGATTTTCAGTCGGATAGATAGATAGTAGTATATGCATCATCAACTAGTAGCAATATGTGAAGCACTGTCATACGCTGCATCACTACCGCAAGATAATATTGTGATATTGACAGACTCAAGAAGCGCACTCCAATATTTGGCTCCGTGCACCTTGGGTACACGAGGCACACCGATAGCCTACACCGTTCTGGAATATATGATATATCCAGGTGAAATCGAAAAAGTTGTAGTGGATTCAGTCTCATTGCGGCTTGGAATACAACGAGCGAGTAGATATCTTGGCTAGACAGTCTATTACGGATGGGATCGAATACAGCATATTACCCCATTACACTGATTGTATTTGTATTATAAAAAGGCTATGTTACAACCTATGGAAAGAATATTTCGATTTACGTTCAAAAGAAACGGGTATTTGGTACAAGATGGTACAGCCACATCTGCCTAAAATAATGCAGTAGTGATAATGAGGCTTCCTTCTGGACACATTCCATCTAGGAAGTTTGCATTCCTTAGGAAAAAGGTCCAGTCACCGAACTGTGATCAATGCGGTGTTCCAGAGGACCTAATGCGTGTCTTGACGGCTTGTGTCCACAACGCTGCCTTTCGTATTGATAAGTGCCACCACATTTTAAAAGATTTCGCTGATTTTATTATAATTTTAGCTAAGCCACATTCTGACTATATAAAAATATTAGTCAAACTTTTCAAGGTGAAGTCCTCCGATCGATCACTCACTTCTCAATG